AGTTAAAAAAAGTTAATCTAAGTAAAAACTTTAACGCAACAACAAAATGAATGCATTTTTATATAATTTATATTTATGACTGTTCCAAAAATATCACAAAAAAGTTACATCAACAAAATGGCTTCTATTTAATGCGGCATCGATCAATAAAACTATTCCACCAATAACATATTACAAAAAGAATTAAAAAATAGACAAGAGAGCATAAAAAATCTTTTGCTTACTTAGTTAAAAAATATTTGTATTTAAACAGAAACTTTCTTGTTTTTGGCGATTTTATGCCAAAACTTTTTTCTTTCTTTTTTGATTCCTACAAATTCATTTTGCAAATCTAGAATACACAAAAATTTGGCATTTTATTCAAGATCTAAACTGAAGTTTAGAAATTTCTGAATGCACAGCGCATAAATACTGAAAATATTTGTTATGTTTCAGCAAAATATATTGTGTTTTCTTTAAAACAAGCTTAAAAAACTTCTTAGTAAAAACTTTCATATACTCGTGTTTAAACAGCGAAAAAAAAAGGACCTTGGAAAAATAAGAAAAAGAAAATACACACAACAAACAATGAAATAATTAACAAAAATTAAATTTTAGCTAGATATAGTAGGGACAAAATGATCCTTATCATGATTCTATAGTTCGAAAAGAATTAATGATTATTACAATTGTACTAATATTTAATGAAAGTTCAATCTAGTCCTACTTAATATCTTTTCTAACAAAGAATAATGATTCAAGTAAAATATTATATTTTTATTAAACTATGAAAAATGAAAAGAATTAAATATTAAAAAAAACTAAAAAAAATATTTTAAATTTTTTTTTAGAGAGATAGCTTTTGCTCGTTCCTTGGCTTGAACTAACAATGAATACAATAAAATCTAATTGTGCGATACATATTTTTAGTAAGTACACTAAAAAAGTTAATACTGATGAGTTGTGATATATACAATGTTGTTGATATTGCAAAATTATTAAATGATTGAAAATAATGCAAAATGCATTATTAAAATGCTAAAAGTAATAATGGATATTTAATAGAAAAGCAAGTAAAAGTAAAACATGCAAAAAGAAAATGTCATTTAAAATAAGCATAAAAAATAAACTTTCATTCAAAATTATTTTGAAGTTGTTAAGTAAATTACATAAAAATGATAATTCATTATAAACTATAATAATAAATATAGATCAAAATTTTAAATGAACAACAAAGAATAAATAAAGGAATTGATTGTTCTTTTAGTTAGTATATTATTTGTGCATTTGTAGGTTTTCAACAACTTTCAATGGCCTATGTTTCGTTATGCTGAATTTTCGATATCAATAAAAGTGATTTGTAAATGTCCCAAACCCCAACTAATTTCATTTATTAAGTTTAGCAGTAAATAATTATGTTACACATAGCTGCCAACATTAAAATGAAAAAATTTAACAGATTTATGAAATATAAATTTGTTTATTTTATAACATCTAACCTATTTCAGATAGACTGAGGATAGGTTTAAGCCACTTGATTTTTTTTCAAAAAAAAAAATCTTTGACTTAAATTGTTAGATTATTATTTTTTTTTAAAAAAAAAATAATTCTTTGATGTAGAATTTTTATTAAACATATTTTTCATTATTTTGTATTCATTTAGAACAAAATAAGTGAAAAAATATTATATTTAACATTTTAAAGCTATGAAATATAGCATGAAACAGTGGTGTCTTTTTCTGTGTTAAAGGTAAAATTTTCCAGACACTTCCAAACATTAATTTTTCAAATTTGTACTTATTTAATAATGAAAAACATTTTTTTAATAAAAAAAAGCTTTAAATTGATTTTTGTATATAAGGTTTAGTTAAAAAATTTTTTATAAATATTAAAGTCGTCAACTATGTGTTAACTTAAAAATTTTCAGCTCTAGCAATTTATCACATGACAACTTAATAGCATTGAGAATAGACATAAGTTATAAGATTGGAGGTGATACAGTTAAGAATTTGTTAGACAATGTTTTGCTATGCTAAATATCTTCAGTAAATTGCTGAACATCTGGAACTTCATCAGGACTGTCATTCTATACTGTTTGAATGGAATCCTCAATTATAAAGATTATTTTCAATCCAAAAGACAAGTGGATTTTTAGGTAAGTTCGATTGAAAAGAACATTTACAATTATACATTGAGTAAATATCAACCACATTGAATGAATATCCTAATTACAATAGTTATTTTGTATTGCAACGATACGGACATTACTTCAATGTTTTAAGATTGTGTCTTGCAAAAAACTAAAAGTATTTTTAAATAGGAAAGAAAATTCTCAACAGCAAAAATTCTCTAACTGAAGATGCTACTCTAATTTTGCAAAAAAGTTGATTTTAAGATACATAAAATTTTAACCCGACAAGAATATCATTAGAAAAATAATAAAAAACATGTACAGAGTGTGAAAAAAATAAAAATGGAATAGCTAAATAACTTTTGATCTAATGATAAGGTTTTCTTCCACTAACATGCAATGTTAATGGTTTATAGAATAGACCCAAAATACGCTAATTAACTAGAGCAGGTAATATTTTAAATTACGAAATTAGACACAAAGAGTACTTTCCTGAATAAACAAATCTTACATTGCTGAGTTTACATTATTGACCTTTAAACTATGGAAGTATCCACAATAAGAAAAATATGGTCGGAAAAGATGATTAAATTTATCATTTTATGTATTTTGTCAAATCGCCAGATCTAGTGGAGGAAACATTTTTTACACTTAATTAGAAAACTTTTTTATACAAGCAAAAAAAAAATTTTTTTTTCATTTTTATTTTTATAATTACTTATTTTTTATTATTTATTCTACTAATGATCAAAAACTTTTCAAACTTGAACAGGATCAGTCAAACTATTTTCAAAAATTGAGAAATATGAATTTTAAAACTTCATTACTCAAAATCTATTTACCATTCAAATTTTGCATAAAAACTATGCACAATTACCTCATAATTAAACCAAATTAATTTTAGCAAGGAATTATCTTCAAATATAAGAGTCTATAAAAAAAAATCTTTTAATCTGTTTGAAAAGTTTCAAAGACAGGGCAAAATATAAGATTAATATTAAGATGAAGGGGGTTAAAATTTATGTTCATTCTATATTATATTTTCTAGAATGCGGCTACTAAATTCATCCATTAGATCTTAAGTTATTTATCAATTCCTTTTTCAAGAATGCTAGACATGTAAGATATTAACTTTTTTAAAAACATTAAAAAAAAATTGGAGGTATTTTGAAGAACTAACATTGATGATAACACCCTCTTGATACTATATGTCATTTAAACATAATTTTTTTTATAACAATTAAACCATTACACAGTATTAAAAATGAGAGAAAAAGAAATATTTCTATATATTTTTTCCTAAGTACTCGAAAACAGGTATTAAAATCTTGTTTACTTTATAGAAATTCAGTGAATAGATATTACACTAATATCCAAATATTTTTAATGAACCTTAACGCACTGACGGTTCTGCACGAAAAAAGTTTTTTTTAACATGCAGTTTTTTCTGTACAGCAAAACCAGTTTTCTTATGTTATTAGATAGGGAAATAGTATGAAGGCGTAAAACATTCTCCCAGTTTTGCCCATTGCTAAACCACCAATGGGTTAAAATACTTCTTTTATGTTTAGAATTTTTAATTAAACTATTTGATGAGTATAATATAATTCTGAAGTATTTCAAAAAGTGAATAGTTTTTCAAATCAGCCAAAGCTAAAAACAATAAATCAGTGATTCCACAGAACTTTGGAAACTACGGATACTTTTGGCCTAAGACATTCAAGTAAATCCTTTTTTACTATAAGTAAAGGTCCTTATTTAGAATAATATAAATGAGCCAATCAATGAATGGGAACCACATTACTTTTTAACTATTGACCAAGAACACAGTTTAGAATAGGACTTGATAGCTGTTCTGCACAACAAACCAGTTATCTATATAGCATTCAAAAAAAATAAAAAGTGCTTCACAGTTAAAAATATAACGCATTCATTTCAAATGACATTTTCAGAAAAAGTAGGAAAATCAAATACATTAAAAAACCTGAAATGAGAATGTAAATAAACAATCATAAGGAATGCTGTACATATGTTGCTTTATAAAAACCTTGACTTGTGAAATATTATTTTACAGGAATATATACATACCAGCTTTACAGAAACATTTAATATTTTATCGTACGAGCACAACAAAAATATTACCAAAGATAAAACTGCATGTTTCATCTGAGGAAATTAAAATAAAAAAAATCCTTGACTTTAAAATAAAGATTAAGAAAGAGATTACATTTTTTTTCTTCTTTTTGCACTTATAACTTTGATATGACGACATAAGACATAAAGATTGTCATTTCTAATATTTCACACAGTATTACCTGTTTTTTTTTCACACAATATTTTTTGCTATGTAGTATTAAAATAAACAATTTAACAGGCATATTATTCTCTAACACATCACAAATAGCAGTTTGCTATGATAATTTTTTGATTTGTACATTAGTTTTATATACCTTCTAAGGATAATATTTTTAATACTTTATGGAAGCTCCACAGTTAACCAGTTTTGATGAATATTTACAACAATTGAATGCTTGAAAAATAATCTCATTTTGGCCTTTTTTTTTATAGTTTTTATTAAAAATACCCATATAAATATTAAATAAATAAAACTAAATATAATTTAAAATATTTAATTAAAAAATACATTTGTTATCAAAAAAATATATTAGTAACAAAAAATATAAACCAAATAAAGAAAATAAAACTTTGAAGGAGTATGCTTTTTAATTAGACTAAAAAGGAAGAAATAAATTTATTTTTATAGAACCTACAGAAAAAAGTGGTCTATAGTGAAATAGCGGATAACAGGACCTGGAGGATTCCACCTGCTCAGGACTGGTACCAACAAAAACAACTTGAAACTGCCCCAGAACTAAAGGGTGATAGAAAATTACAGACCACCATCACCAGATTTATCAGTAGACATACTTGTACACTTTTATACATGTAAAGACAAAAGGAGCTTCCTGTGTTCACACCAAGACACTCCAGATCATTCGCTCTCCTGTTTAGAGCTGGAAAAAGAGTGATTTCTTCGAAAATCCTGTGCTGGTTCATGACTTTCTGTGGTTGAACGGTCTTCTGGACTTGATCTAGCTAAGGACTGGATCAAGTGGAATAAAAAACACAGCACAAAAACAACAAAGTATATGTTTTATCTTAATTGGTCTCACAAAAACAGTCTATTCCTTTTTAGTCTACTTGAAAAACAACTTTTTATTTTAGTTTTTTAAAAATATCTGTTATATTTTAATTATTTTTCTCTTTTCAGCTTTGTGGCTGTTTATAAAAAAAAAAAAAAGTCGAAATTTTAAGTGGCAATAAAATTTGCTGGTACCATTTAAGAAACAATTGCAATTTGTATTGGCATATAGCACAAAGATCTAGTTGAATTTAGAGCTTTCAAACTAGCAGAAAAAAAGTCAAATTTTTCTATTGGCAATTTTCCGACGCAAGTTCTGCAAGTGGTGCTCAGGCAAGCTTTTACTATCATCTACCACAGAGACCCAACTGAACTTATAAATGCTACATTTTTCAAATGCAAATTAATTTAAGTTGCAGAGATAAATTATAATACTGGTGGTCAGGAAATGATAGAAGTTTTTATTATCATTTAGCACAAAGCAGGAATTAATATTTAAGCACTCTAGGCATTTGAAGAGAGGTTTTGATTGACATCCATTTGGAAATATAATTGCAATAAATTCTGCTTCTAGCAGCAAGGAAACACATTGTTATCAGGTACAGAGTTCTAGTAGAGATCTGAGTGCTCTAGCCAGTCCAAATTTTAATTGCAAGATTCTATCTTCACAGACACAAAAGTTAGTTAAAAATAAATTACTGGTTTCCTGAGTAAATCATTTTATAAACAGAGACAAAAAATTTATTGGGAAACAATTAAGTTTGGAACTCTTTGTTAACAGTTCATAAACCTTTAAAGCCTATCAACAGATATGACATGTTTGTTTGAACTCTTAACAACTGTTAGGTTTTACACAACGGAGTTGTAGAAAATGTTTAAGGCAATTACGATATTAAAAAAAAAATTTATAACCAGAATTAACTTAATAAATATTAACTATCAATTAATGGAAAAAAGATATGATAAAAGTAAATTAGCTATTGATTAAATAACGCTTTTATAAAATCAAGTTAGCACACACAAATGCAAGCGGCAAGTAAAAGTTACAATGTTTACTTACAATAACAAATTTTATAGCAACAAATAAATTAAATATCGTTAACATAAAATCAAGAAATAATTAAAATACCATTTATTAAATTAAATTTTTTTTTAAAAAAATCATAATTGTTAACATATTTGTAGGGTAATATTAGTCATTTCATACTTTTCTAATAGTTCACTGGGCAACAGATTTAATAGAATAAAGAAAGTTTGCATAAAAATCAGTTCATGATTAAATTGTAAAGATATGTATACACAAATTAATGTATAATGCTCTATAAAATGTGTCTAAATATAAAATTATTTAAATTTAACAAAAATATTAAAAACAAAGAAATTCACCATAAATTCACATTGAATGTATAAGATTGGTTCATAGTTAACAAAAATAAATAATGAAATGAAAAAAATAAATAATTAATGAATTTATTTAGTCGTTTAACAATAACACTGGAAAAAAAACATATAATAGTCATTAAATAGAGAATTTTTTTTTTACCACAAAATACTACTTTATGTTTCAGTAAATAGGAGGGATAACTTTCGACAATATATTTTAAAATACACATTAACATCAATAAAGTTTTCTTTTTAAGGCTCTAAAACATTTTCATGTGTTTAATATACAAATGTGCAAAACTACACATATATGTACATGAAATAAATCAATCACAAATTCAAAGTGATGGGATGATATAACACTGGACAAATTTTGATTAACAAACATGGGACACAGAGACATTTTTCTTTTTAAATTTGAAATAAATTAAGAAAAAAACAGATTTCAAGCATACATATTCATACTGCGTCAAAAAAGCAAGTTCATATGAACTTATTGCACTATAGGAAGCTCCTGCAATCTCTGTGCAGCCCAGGCAAACAAACAGCATCAATTTTAAATTTGGCAGTAGTTGCAGTATCAGCAGGTGCTTTCGAGTTCTACTGATCGTTGTCGTTCACGCTGTCTTTGTCGAAAACGAAGAAACTCCTCTTTTAATGCTGCACACCTGGCCTCGGTATTTTCATATTTTCGAGGTCCAGTGGGATACATACCACTACATAATTCACTGTCACTGAGACCACGATCATTCCACGCGTCTCGATTGTGATGAGCAGTACCAGCTGCTCTGTGGCGAGACCTGCTGAATCCATCCATAATTGGTAGGGCTGGCTCAGAATGTGGTGAATCTGCTTCAAAAAGTGAAGATCCACCAATATGATGAGGAATGGTATGTACACCATTCGGTGTCAGTGATGTTGAAGCAAAAGCAGCAGAATGGTTTCTACTGGCAAAACCACTACTGCTTCCACTACGATTGTTAATATCAAGTTCCCCTTGCAGACTTGAATGAGCGAGAGATGCTGCTTTACTTCCATGGCCAGAACTGCCACTTGTGACGCTAGTGCGACTGGGAGTAGTTAATCGTCGATTAGTAGCTAATGAACCATCAACTTCTGAAAGAAGTTCAGGAAGATATTGTTGTCGCTGATAAGCAGCATTCCTTACACGTTCCACAGCACCCAAAAGACGATCTCTTGTATAAGTAACTTGATGTACATCACTTCCACCACTCTCACTTGAATCAGGACCACATGGAACTTGAGAAACACGATTTATTAAATGAGAATCTAAATGAGGTGGACTACTAGTTGCCAATGGTCGTTGGTGACCAGGTGAGACCTGTTGCCTAGGATGAACAGATCCATTAAAACTGCGAGGTCCACTGGGACGAACTGGATAAAAGCGAGGACCAGTTCCATTTGAGGGATAAGCTTGCAGAGGTAACCAATGACGAGCACCGGGCCAACCTTGGTTAAAAGATGTTTGAAGGGGAGAACCTAAAACTTGCTGATGTAACATCCAATTTGGCGGTGGAGCATCTTGAGCTCGTTGAATAGGTCGAAAATGCATTGGAAATGGTGGTGTCAAGTGACTCGATACAGTACTAGGAAAAGAACGCTCAACAGAGGAAGGCTGACGAATAGAACTCAAATCTTCAGCGAAAAAAGAACCTCCTAAGCCAGGACTACTAGTATGGAAACGAGATGGAGTAGTAAAAGGACCATATGAAGGAGTTGAAGGACTCAAGTGCAAATGGTGGCTGCTCTGTCCACTGCCATCACTACGAATACTGCCTCTGGCTCCAGCATGGTTGGACGGAATGAGGGAGTGAGTATTAGATGGAACTGTTTTAACAAAACCTCCCTCTTCATCGTCAGCACTACCACGAAGCACAAACTTACCATCAGCTGAACGACTTATCCAGCCTAATGGTTGAGAATATTCCATTTGAATGTTATAGCGAGCAACTCTAGGATGGCGCAAGTGTACCGGCCATCCATGAAAAGTTCTGGTTCGCTCCTTGGGATGTGATGCTAAGCCTATTCTACCTAAGCTGGCCAGAGAGGGAAATTTTAAACTTGGTACTCTGCCTTCTTCATCTCTGTTAGAAAAAGAAAAATTTTTATTAACTAAGAAGTATTAAGTAAACATTTTAAGTTATACAAATAAACATGACACATAATCACAGATTTAAATAAAAAATTCTACACTGTGTCATCAGAAAAATAAATGTTAAAAAAAGTAATCTTTTAATAACATGCATCTAAAGAAAATAACTTCCATGCTTATCAAAAATAAGAACATAATGAATTTCCAACAATTCCAATTTTTTTTCCCTTCCCCCATGCATCAGTTTGAATAAAAAAACTAGCATATGTCTATAATTGCAATGCTTTTATTTCTCAAATTTAATGACTAGAAGCATGATGAAAATTATTAGTTCATAAGAAAGAATATTAGTAGAAGTGAAATAACAGAAAAATCTTTAACAAACAGTAGTGCTCATAACTACTATATAATTTTAATAGAGTATAAACATTAGATTTCAAAATCACTATAAAAAATTTAAAGAAAAAAAGAAGAAGAAAAAGATGCTCTCAACCTTAACTATAACTAAACGTTACAATCCCTAGGTTTTTTGTTTTGTTTTTTTGGTAACTCTTAAATTATAAAGTATAAGAATATTAATTTTATTTATAATATTTTGCCTTGAAAATCAAATATTTGTATTCAAGAACAAAGTAAATGTTTCTATTTCCAATAAGCGCAGAATGAAATAATGGCAACAAAATATTTGATAGACATTTATAATTTTTAAAAGGAACATAGAAATATTTTCTTCGAATTGATGTTAAAGTAAAGAGCTGCCAGAAGATAAAGACGTTTTAATTTAATTTTGACATTAGTGCAGATTTTATTAACAGAAGAAAATAATTATTTGTTGTTGCCATTTAACTTGTTCTCAGAAGTATCATAAAGCTTCATCAGAGAAGGTCTTGAAAATAGCTATTGGTAATGAATTTTTTAATTCAGAAATCTAAAGGATTTTAGAACACAATATAATCAAAAGTGCAAAAATTTTTAAAAACAATGAAGCAAGCCCGCCACTAGACGGGGAAAAGGAAGGCCAAAACTATGGTGGTTCTGAGAAATTTTAGAGTGATTGGGATGAGAAACTGCCAGACAAGGTCTTAAAATTGGCTGTCCTGGAAGAGTTTCCAACAGAAGAAGTTAGTCCACCATGAGTTGATATGATAATAAGTTTTTACATCTCTCCAATTGCTTAAATAAATAAGGTTGTTATGTAAATTGTTACAATTAAAAATTAGAACTCAAGCTTTTGTAAACCAAAATGAACTGAATTCAATATTCTTTAAGAAAAAACTTCTTTAGTTAAATTTCTGCTGTTGTCACTGAAATGCCCAAGACAATGTTTTACTTCAATTTTCCAAGAAATTGTCTGATCAATTAAGAATAGAATTTTTTTTTATAACTTAACAATTGACAACAATAAGGAATATGAGATTTTTAAAGATATTTTATGCATGTACTACACTGCCATAATTTGGATCAGAAGGCAGATAATAACATAGGCAATCATTGGTCTCTACATTAAGCGCCCAAAGTTTGTAATGGGCTCTAATGACAACAGGAGATGATTTCTAAAATTCAATCTATTAGATATCTAGTCTAGTTGGCAAGCATAATTGAATCTTGCATCATGATACAGTTGATGGAGATTCCATGCTCAATCCTAACTGGCCAACCTTAGTTTTTAAGAAGCAAATTGTTTAATATTACAGTAGAGTCCCGATTATCCAAGTTTCTGCTTTAATCGAGCTATAAAATATTTCAAGGATTTTTGTTCTAGTTTATTTTTTAAATTACCGCCGAAAAAAAAATCTGAATTTTATCTTCCTAACACACAGGAAAATGAAATATAACAACTTGATTCGACGAATTAATCATCAATATCGTCAATAATGAAAATGAATCTAGTGAGGATGATGAAAATAGTGACGACGAAAATCAAAATACAAAAATCTTATATTCAGATGGACTGAAAGCTATCGAAAGTGCTATTGAATATACAGAAAAACAAGGAGACACCAGCCTTCCTGTAATCCCTAAAAAAAAGCAAAACATGACTGCAAAAAAGCGCCTCAGTAATGCAAAACAAGAAACGATTAAGGACTTTTTCAAGTAAGCTGTTTAATTATAATATGAATTGTATGTAGCGCACTCGTATAAATTTTGTATTTGTTAAATATATTACATTTATACCTACTCTTTTTCTTTCCTTTTTTATAATTTTAGCTTTAAACGAGTTTTTCGGTTATGCGAGTTAGGTGTGGTACACACTAACTCTAATAATCGGGACTCTACTGTTTTTGATGTTATTTATATTTACCTTAATTACTTGCATAATTTTTTCACGAAGTTATGAATAAAATAAAATAAAAAAAAACCTTTGACAGATGCAAACACTAAAGAATGCACGAAAAAAATAATTCAAGACATCAAATGCATGCATGGATAGATTTAATATCTAGATAAATGCAAACAAAACACAACCGTTTTCAACATTCCGTTTCAATTCCATTAGAACACATCAATGTGAAGACAGTTGCCGTACCTTTTTTTCTTCTGTTATAGACGGCAGCAACAGTAAAAAAGATTTATGCATAAGTATAAAATGTAAACCCAAATCTCAAAAATATATAATTTAAATCACATTGACAATATTAATTTATACTTTTAACAAATTATGTTTTGAATAAAACAATTAACACAATTTTAGTCTTTAAAGAAATTTCTTTTATCTGTTTTTTTTCTTCTTCCTTTTAAAACATTTTACAAACTAAATGAAACTACTATAGAAAAGAAAGAAACTTTAATAGATTATAGTTTATTTTTTTATATTAAAAAGTTTCAGAAACTATTAAAGAGTTAAAACTAACATATTTATAACGTTATAAAAAATTCTTGCTTAGAGAAATAGAACACAAAAACAGCTATACATTATCTTCAATTTTAAACACAAAAATTCCAAAGACTGTTTTATATACTTTTTTATAAATTGCAAAACTTAAATCAATCAAAATATGATAACTTCTGAGCTTTACTTGTCTAGTGTTACTGTTTTGAAATGCATCAAAATAGAAAAATTATAGCTGGCTAAATATATTCTATTACTTGCAACATATTTTTCAAGTGCATCAAAATCTTTTAAGCGTCCTTATGTATTATACAAAGTAATTTTTAGATCATAATATTTTCACCAGGAAATATATTTCACTATGATTTAGTTCACTTATTTTTTTTCTTTCTATTTTGGAAGTTGCATATTTATGAAAAATCATAACTTTGACAAATGCAAAATCCTAAAATTGTATGAATGAAAAAAAATCAATATATCAAAATCTACAAGGTTTGAATTTTACCTAGATTATATTGTATTCTTTTTAGGGTTATCTATTGATAAACATACATAAAGATAAACACCTTTCTTATAAACATACTTATGTTAAATAGAAATTATTCAATTCAAGTAAATAATATTGAATGTAATTTACATTTGTGAGAATGGTAAAATATATAAAAAAAATGCAGAAATTTTTCACTGGACTATTAACCAGATATACTGAGTGAAATGTTGATGATATGCTTTTCTCAAAGTATTTACATTATTGAATTAGACATAAGAATAATTCTATGTTAAAAAAAATTTCAAGTTAGGTACTGTTATTTTTCTGTGCACTTTGACTATCAGCACAGAGCAATTTGAGATAAAAATGGATTTAGAATATTATCTTGCAGTTTTAAATAATCATCCCTATTTTAGTTTTTCTTATAATAAAAAGTTATCATGAGAAGACATTTAAAAAATTTATGCTTCACAAGCCTTTCAATTCTGCTTAAGAGCCAAATAGAGAATAAATTAAGTAATTAATTAAAAAGGTCTATTTCAACCTATTTTTCAAGAAAATCCAAAAGGTATTTTGATTGTTATTTTTAGCTATTTATTACTAATTATAATGTTTTCAATATAGTGTTAGGGCACATCAATGTCAAGTTTGAGTTATCACTTTTTGATGCAATCAATTTGCGACGCATTCATCATTTCCAATCTCAAACTATTTGTGATAACTTTTTCGTTGGTTATTTATCGTTTTTTCTCAGTCATTTCCAAATTTTTTCCAAATTTAACGATTTTTATATATATTAAAATATTTATTATACAACTTTAAAATATATTAAACTATTATTATAAAAAGCAAATTAGAGTAATCTTTTTTTGATGCCATTTATTTGTGAAGATTCCATCATAAACTTCATTGTTTTTTTTACCCTGGCAACTATCAATTTTTTTTATTTTTTTTTTGACCTTTCATACATACTTCCTCAAATTTTGATATTTTAAATACATTATTAAGAATGAAAAATTTTGAATTTGAGTTTTTACTTTTCGATATTCATTTTCTGACCATTTTTTAGCCCTTCCCATGAGTTTTTTTTCTTCTTCCGATTTTGATAATTTTAATACAATGTTACGCATATTTCACTTATAACTTTTTTAAGTGCTTGATTTACAACAGTGATTTCATCAAACATTCACATGGATTTTCAATCATTCTTCAGCAGCTATTCTTTTTTTTTCTAACTTCAATGTTTTTTATACAATATTATTTACGACAATAAATTTAATATTTAATTATCCAATAAATTTTTAATTTTCTTTACATTTTTACGTGCTTCGTTCACAAAGATTCCAGTAAATCCATATCATTTTCCAATCATTTCCACATGATTTTTCAAATTTCAATGTTATTACAAAATGCAAATTTTGAATTTGTTTACAGCTTTTTTGCTGAATATTTCAGCCTATTGGTTTTTTCTTTTCCAAAATTTTTATATGACGTTAATGCAATATGAAAATTTCAGATTTGTGTGATCACTTTTTGATGAGCTCTGCTTAAAATAATTCCATCATGTAGTCATGCCATTTTCTGACTGTTTTCCCTAAATCTATTATATATATGTAGAAATAAATATAGTTTTGTGGCCATTTCCATACAATTTTTTGAAACATTGACATCCTTAAAGCAATGTTATTCTTACATGTGAATTACGAATATGAGGTATAACAATTAACTATTTGGTTTTTAACAATTCTGTAAAAGATCCACATCCTTTCCTGATTGTTTCTGAGCAGTTATATATAATTTTTGGCCTATTTTCATGCGATTCTTATAATTTTGATATTATAAATATGACGTCATTATGATAGGCAAATTTGATTTTGAGTTATCACTTCTGGAAGCTTTTGAAATTAAAAATTTCGTGACTTCATTTAAAGAAATCTTGACTTTTTAGGGACTTTTGTAACCCTTTTTCAAATTTGTAAATTTTCGTGATCAGTAGACACCTTGAGCATTTAACAAACACAAACTAGCCTTCATTTAGCAAATTTAAAATAAGAATTTGGTAAATGTGGAATTTCATTCAGTTAATTAAGAATCCTCTAATTCCAACAATTAAGGCTTCTAGCGCTTTATTGGGGGGGGGGGGAATCATAAGCACCTTAACCATTAAGTAAAGTGAAAATATAGGAGTCATTTTAAAAGCAAAGTAATCAGAGAAAAAGTGTTTTGATAAGAAAATCACAACTATGTAGAATAAAATAAAAAAGAATGTTTTGAAAGTTTATTTTAAAACAAGTCACATTGAGTATATACTTACTTTTTGACAGGAAGAGGAGAGCCTGCATGTGAATGTCCTCCATTTCTTTGTTCAGGCACAGAACAGGTAACCATCATGTAAGCTACAAAACATAAAATAAACAAAATTGAATTTAAATAAAAAAATACATATATGCACTTGATTTTTTTACAAAATTAACGTAGGAACCAAACAATTTACTGGTTTTAAACAGGTGCTCATTAAACCTGAGTGGACCAAAAGTATCAAAAAAGCTATATACTTATATGCATTAAAAATGTTTAAAAATGGCTTCCTATTTTTTATGAGAAAGGAACTAAGGTTTGAATTATTTTGCTATTGAGACTTGTGCTAATCATCTGCAATGCTTAACAGATGACACATAAGGTGCAAAATACATAATCATTACAACACCAATAAATACCAAAATACAGTAGGGAACCGATTATCCGGAACGATCGGGACCATCGCTATTCCGGATAACTGATTTTTCCGGTTTTCTGAATCGCTACAAAACGGCGTTTTTTTTATTGTTAAACCAAACTAAAAAAAAAAATTTTTAAATAATCTTAAAAAGAAGAAAAAGCGATGAAGTAATACACTAATGAATATTTCCAAAATGATGGTAAGGTAAACATCTTTCAAAAAAGAAAGAAAAATCCTAAAATCTTCTGAGGAAAAAAAAATTTTTTTTTTTTAAAATGGGGGGAAATTTTATCGAATTTCGCTCCGGTTTTTTGGTTTTCCAGTTTTCTGAATTCCGGATAACGGGTTCTGTACTGTAAAATTTTAGTAAATTCTAAGTCTTTGAATGCAGGCATCATTCACTACGTACAGCATTCTCACTACACTACAAACTTGATTCAAAAATAGTAATCATTTTTTTAATGAGACGATTGAGAAATAAATCTTTAAAAAAAAAATTGTTTACATTATTTGATTAATATTCAGCAAATCCATTATAAATATTCGCTGAATAATTGCAGACACATGTCATTGCCTATAGTTGATTCTGCTTTAATAATTTAATTAGCCGAATAGAAAAATAGAAGACGTAGTCTTGTTGCTATCTGTGAATAACGCAAGATACATAGTTTTCTTTGGGTGTTACACAGGTTTTAAAAGCTAATATATATATATATATTTTTTTAAATTTCAAAATTTATTCTAGGTTGCCTTACATTTTAATAATTCTATTATTTTATGGGTAAAAATTTAACTTTAATCATATTAAAAGTAAAGACTTTTACTTTCTTCGGTTAATTAAAAACAAAATGCAACATTATTAGAATTTATTACACTTGATGGATAAAATTAAAAACAAATAAGTTAATAGTTTTTTCTTCAATATTAAATTTTGAGTAAGTATAAAATGAGAATAGTTTAAAAAGATTAGAAAATACAATTTGTAAAAATACAAGCATGTCCACATTTTTCGGAAAACAGATAATAAATAAATCAAATCACCTTTTTCTGCCTTTCTTCTCTTACGTTTGTTACATATCTTAACGGCACATATGGACAGTATAATTGCAGCAACAAAAAATAAAACACCGCCAACAACACCAGCAGTAATAGCCCTGTTTCTGCCATAACTATCATCATCTCCTAAAAGGTTGAAAGTTAAGTGATTAATCATATTTATAGATCTAAAAATATTTTTTAACGATACTATCAGAGAATTCCCTGGCTTTGTGAGAGAAAAAATTTTCGAGTGGTAACAAAATTTATATTCAAACATATGATTCTTGACATAAAAAATTTAATTTTTAAGTGCTATGCTGGCCACTACAGATAAATAATACCATAGTTCATATGAAATGCCACTTTTTTTTCAAAAATCTCATGGAAAACTCGCAAAAGGGTTCTAATTCTGTAAGTTTTAATTTTTAATTCTATACTATTTAACAGAATCTTTTGGTAAAAACAATGTTAATAAAGTTATTATAATATAAATTTCAAAAAATTCAGATTTAATTCCATGTCACAATTCTTCTGAGAAATACATTTAAGTAATAACTATTTATACAGTTCAATTTCAAGATCTTTAATAGATTTTAAAAGTATCCATAAGCCTTTTCTCTTGCTTTCAACTTTTTTTATTTTAAATCAGTGCAAAAAATTATGCAATGTACAAAGATCTCAAGAAAGTAATATAGATATTTGGTTGTATTTATATCTTGTGATTTACTTTTTATTTTTTCCCCAAAAATATATTTCTCAAATACTTAACTTGGAATTAAATCAATCAAAAAGACATAAGGAATATTATTAGGCAAATTAAAAGCAAAACAAATAAATAAAATTTAAAATGCATTCTTTTATTATTATTTCAATAAAAAAAATTAATAAAAATCTCAGGGTAAAAATAGAAATCGTAAAAAGAAGGTAGAGGGAAAAGTAAAATGTGTGGACACTTGTAATCAGATGCAAAATACCTTTATAAGATAAATAAATAAAAAAAACTTACTGCACGATTCCAATTAAAACAATTTTAAAATGGAGACAAGAACTATTAAAAATAATTGAGATATAATAAAGATGAAAGGATTGGGAGAATACAATGAATGACCACAATTTCAAAATTTTCAGAAGAGAGATTTTTAAGAGCCTATTCGGTGCAAAACACCATGATTTCTAAGTAAGCAATACAATGCTACTCTACTTTGTACAGTTTTAGAGGATAAATTCAGTTATAGAGTGTAAGTATCTATCAGGAAAGAATATTTTGAGACAGTTTGGTGCAAAACGAAGAAATATAGTTTATCATCATTTTAGAACTTACCAGGAGCATGATAAACAACCTCAGAACTGGCAGATCCGACAGACAAAATTGAATAGGCATAGACACGAAAATGATATGTTTGGCCCCCAGCAAGAGTTGGAACTGCATAACAAAACACAATTTTAACATTAAAAAAATACAATTTATACAAAATTAAAAAATATTACGTCGAAACAAGACTTAATTTTTTTCTAATAACTTAATATTCTATTGCAGGGTTTCCAGTAAATGTATGGAAAAAATTTCCCGAACATTTCCAGGTATTATCAGGAAAATTTAAATGAAAATCCAAACCATATTTTATCTATACCATGCAATATTTCATCAGATAACTTTGATTTTTTTTATTTGTGTCAAATATTAGATTTTGTTACTAAAGAAATATCATTGAATAAGGATAGAAGCATGGAAGTTTCAGTAAAATGTGGAAAAAAATTTTTAATAAATAATTGTAATGGATGTTGGAATTATTTAACTTGAATCTTAATTACTGATTACTCCTTACTGACACTTCTGAGACTGGTTAGTTTCCAGGTATAATGTAACAGTTTTCCAGTTTTTTATTTATTTATTATTTTCTTTTTAAATTGCAATTTTCCCTGACTATTTGTTGCTTTTAAGAGGCAAAATAAAATTCCCTGACAGTTCCAGGTTTTCCCTGTTCTCCTTGACCCATGGGAGCTCTGTGCTTGCATTTGCCTTTTATCAGAGCCTCATACAGGTGAATTTTACAACCATTTATCAGTACTTTCACACAAAAAAGATCTGGCAAAAAAAGTACTCTCACAAAAATCATAATTAATCTAGCAAAATTGACACCTTCCCAGAAAAAATAAAAAATCAGCCGCTGTAAGCTTTCATTAAAAACAAGTCTATTTTGTTTACAAAAAAAGATTCAATACAAGTGCATATTTTGTTAAACCCATGAACACATGCAAGTTTAATGGCACCTACCCCATCCGATTCTTATTCCTATTCACGTGATTTAAAAATGTAACATATTCATTCACATTTACGAGATTTTTAAAAAAAAAATTGTAATTCGTATTCACTGGTTCTAAAAATCACAATTTGTGATTCTTCTCCCTACAATTTAAAAATCACATTGTGTTTCTTATTAATGAGAATTACAAAATCATTCCTTGATTTGTATTAACGAGACTTTAAAACCACACATTGCGATTCATTTTGGTGAGATTTAAAAATCACACATTGATTAATGCTTGAAAATTATAATATATGTACTATAATGCTATTTTAATTCCTTCCGAAGAAGTCTGTAATTAAAACAGCTTTGACTCGAAATTAACAGAGCATTTCTCTAATCTTTACCTTCCCAAGTTCTACATGATATGTAAGTGAAGTCTATCAAAGAGTCATAAACCTTCTCCCTCATTTACAATAAAAATGCTAACAAGATTTGATTGATTTCTGAACTACCTCCTTACACTTGTTCAGAGTTGAAACTGGTTAGAAGTCCCAATTGAAGTGAACATATATTTTAGTCTCCTCTTCTTAATCAGGGTGCGTAGCCAAATTACTCAACAAAAAATAAGCACCTTTTCAAGCACTCAAAAGTTATTTTTAAGCATTTTTAAAAAATATCATAATTAGGCAGCATTGGAAAGTTTTTGACAATCGACGGTGTTATCTTGTTTTTGACATTTGGCATTTTTGACGTTTTTGGCATTTTTATTGACAATTGTAAAAGCATGAAATTTTGAATCATGTAAAACGAATGGCGTTTTCAGACGCTACGGACTGACAATAAGCTGAAATAGATTGGGGTTGAATTAATTGTCAAAACGTTGAATAGAACAATGTGAACTGTGTCTTTTTGCACAATTCCTAGCAAAAATCAACATGGCAAAGGAAAAATATCATTTTGAAAAAGGGAAAATTAAGTACTTTTTTAAAAACACCCAATGAAAAAAGCACCTTTAAGGGCATTTAAAAAACAAAAATCAAAAATAAGCACCTTTAAGGACTTTTTAAAAATGCTACACACCCTGTTAATGAAAATAGGAAATTTACTTCTAACTGGTTAAATATTTTTTGAAATATTTTTCTTTTTTATGCCATACGCGAGGACTGACAACTACCTCTACACACCCTGTTAATAGAAAATAGAAAATTTTCTTCTAACTGGTTAAGTGGACTGATCGTTAAGACACAGTTCCCAGCAGATCACCGAAGTCAAGCATCACTGGCTGCGGTCAGTGTGCGGGTGGGTGAGTACTTGGATCAGTCTGTGTAGGGACCGAGAGTGTGCGGTATTGGTCCTCGTTAAACTGCTCTACCGTAAAGTGCTCGACTTCGCGTGCAGATCGTCGGGCTACCGAAGCGGGGGTGCCATCCCCTCTGCAGAGGATCAAAATTGTGATGGCATGTCTTCGGATCATCCTCCGGGATGTTTCCCAGACCGTCGCCAATAGCTCTAGTGCGACGTAAATTAACAACATCTAACTGGTTAAATATTTTTTTAAATATTTTTCTTCTTCATTTTTATGCCATAAGTGAGGACTGACAACTTAAAAAAATCACTAAAATGGGAACATTTGTTTTGATTTTATCTAAAATAATTTAGTCCTATTAAATGTTGCTTGTATAAGAGGGTTATTCGATTATACGATAGGCAATTAAGAGGAAAAGACTGCATTAATTTAAATAATTTATCATTAAACAAAGACTAAACAATTTATTTATATAAAAGAAAATTATGTACCTATGTAGTTGTATTCATCTCTAATTGGACCCCATCTCTGCCACTGCCCATCATCTGTACGATGTTCTACGAAATAAAATGCTATGGGTATTGTTAGGTTTTTAGGCGGTTGCCATGATATTACTACACCCATCTGTCCTCTCTCCACAGTCACATTTCTAGGAGGCCACGGCTTTGGACCTTAAACAGATGAAATAATAAAAATGAAAACAAATTTTAATTCTCGCATCAACCTGGCACTTTTAAGCACCTGCGCACAAAAAGATTCGTTGAGAAATCAGATTTATAATGTATATAAACAAACACACAGAATGCTTTATGTTCATAGTCACTATTACACATTTTTAGAATGTTGATGTGAAATGTATGATGTCAAATTTAAGAAAGGGGACACAAATTAATACTGAGATAAAGAAAAATTTTTGTTTTCAAAACAAGGAAACATTAAGGAATAATGGAGGACTGAAAAATTCAAACTCGGTTTGCAGGAAAAATCGTAAGTTATAAAGCAATTATTAGAAAACACAAGTTTAAACCAGCAAACAAACTGCTTTTAATGTCTTTAATCCTTCTTTATCTTAATAGTGACTTATTGTATTTTACTCTTTCTCTCTTAAATATTAATATGCCATCTCTGATGTGCATTTAACTATGTATATTATGGGCGACTGTTACAAAACACCTAGTAAATGTCTTTGTAGCTAAATGAAAAAAATTATTGTACCATACAAAAATCAATATAACATAGATGTAGAATCCTCCAACCTAAGTCAATTTTAAAATGTCTTACGTTGCAGGGCTCAAAAAACAGTTAGCACTTAGGCAGATTCATCTTTGATAATATAAGGAAGTAACAACATGCAATAAGATTTTATATAATTTAAATGTTCTGTCTTAATTGAGTATTTTCAATTTGAGAAAAAGCAAGGTAAAATATAAAAAAATAATAGCTTAAAAATATATTACTGAGAAAAAATAAAGTTCAGCAATTCACAAAAAGTTCTTTTTTATTAAAGAAAGCGGGGATAGATTATATAACTTTAAAATATATAAATATGGATGATGAATAACAATGCTCTACAATATTATAATCCTTTTAATGGTATAAACAATATACTGAAGTAAGATAGACATGAAAAAAAAAAAACATTTAATACCTGATGGTTTTTGCACAGTAGGAATATATGTAGCTCCATAAGCATCAGTAGGATAAACACCACCAAGATAATCCCAGGCTAAAATGAACGAAAAACTATAACTAAAAAAAGCACAACAAAATATAGAAATTGCAAATTCATATTACAAACATAAATTAGTGAATGTCCCCTAATAAATTTTTATTAAAAATATTTTTTGATTCAGCATTTCTTTAATGAAATGATTAAAAAACTTTTAATAATTTTAAAATGTAAATAGAAGGACTATTTAAGCTAAACATTTTTGTCAGAAGTAAATTATAAGGTCCCATTACTCATAATATTTAACAAATCTGAGATACTTGAATTTTATGATTTCAATTGTTTTTAAATCAAATTATTAAGAAATGAATTCAAGTTTTTTGGAATGAAAAATCTGAATAACATAGGATTTCTTTATGCTTTTAAAATAGTGTAAGCCCCCCACTTCACACCTTTTAAAATCTTGACTATTAATATTATTGAGTTTTTTTTCATAAAACAAATTAAGAGCACTGTAAATTTCAAGAGTAATACAATAATAAAAAATCAAAGAACAATAAAACTTAAATATTATGCAATTAGTGGTTGGTCCCTCAGACAAAAATCTAACAACTAAATATCTTAATCAATTCTTATCTTCATTAAATTCAGTGAATAAAAAAAAAGAAATGAAAATTTTGAGGTGATGAAGCTTTGTAATTCTTGACAGCTCTGGAAACCCATCTGAAAATTCATAATTAGTGAGTGATCTCAAATGAAGCTCAAGGATTAAAGTGTTAATCTATAAATAGAAGAGGGCGAGAAGGCCATTAGCTTGACGGTGTCGAAGACGAGGATGCTTGACCAATGATGAAATTTTAAAAAAATAAAGTTTTCTTTTCCTATTAGAGAAAAAAATTTTGTAATGTATAGTTGGTCCACGTTATCAGCAAAAATGCAAGAGATTTTTCAGTGTGATTTCAAAGGTTGAAAAATGAAATCGGAAAATGCGAATAAAACTTTTACAAAGTAAAATACTTGATTAAATTTTCTTCTATAAATGAACAATTTCTAAAAAGTCTGAAACCGCAAATTCTGTGGGTAAGGCTATTTGCTTGAACACTGCATATAATTAGTGGACGGTTTATTCTTGAATTATCAATTTTACATGATTAAAATGAAAAGAAATGAGGAATAAGTCCTAAAAACTATTTTAACTTATAAGTGAGCATATGCTAGATAAAATATAAAACGCTTACGTTTAGTCCTTGTTTTCACAATAGGGCTAAACAAGCCATCTCCCAAAATGTTTCTGGATAAAACTTGGAACTCATATTCTGTGTCAGGCTGTAAATTGTACAAAGTAACAGTTGTTGCACCCTCTGGCACCACCCTGACTGTACGCCATTCACTAATTCCTTGATCAGCAAGCCGATACCTATAAAGGAAACAATGAAAAAAAATTTGCACAATATGAATCTGGTTGCTGTTGTTAGAAATTAAATTTATTTCGGAAAAAGGATTGTTTAGAAAGACACTAGTTCACATACATGTAAGATAGAGCAAACACAACAAAAAGTTTCTGAGAATAGAATATTAAGGTTGGGAAACTTGTTTCTGGTAATGATTTGTATGATTTTAAAGATAAACCTTAATTAAGTTTTCATCACATTAACGAGTACAACTTTATAATCTGTGCATAAATAAAATATAAGTTTAAAAATAATTTTAACATTAAAAAAATAATTTTTTAAAGTTAGATGCAATAAAATTTATTATTATGCTAGACTCAAACACATCTTACCATATAACATAAGTTTGTTCATAGTTTCCATCATAAGCGGGATACCATGTGAGAGTTGCATCAAAAGAGCTTGTATTTACAGTGACATTTGTTGGTGCATGAGGTGTAGTTCCTGCAGAATCAAAAATAAATGTATATCTAAACAAAAGCATAAAAATTAAGTGAGTTTACAACATTTTGACTTATTTTTATCGGACAACCGAAGAAACAATATGGAAGCAAGAAATACAGAAACATTAAGAGTAAACAATGAGAGATATAAGATTAAATGAAAACTACGGTTTAAATCACAAATAGTAAAACTTATAAAAATCTTAAATGCATTTCGGTATCACATGGTACACCTTCATCTGTAGGATAAAAAGGCACAAACAGAGATGGTACTATTCAACTAAGTTTATGCCAACTTATGAGATAAACAGACAGTTAAAGGAGAGGAAAACATTTAAAAAATGATAGTTAAGAAGCTAAAAAATTAATGATTACCAAATATTTGATAGATGTGGTGCCGCTATGAGACAATTATTGAGTTTTTATTTTTAATTATGGAAAAGATTTCCCAGAAATCCAGGAAAACAAAATGCTTTGACAATGAATGTTTTGAAAAAATATTAATTTCTGGATATTTTTCTATAAAGTCTTTGATTAGGATACCTTGTATATTACTTTGTATTTAGCTTATAATCAATTTCTTTAAAATCTAATTTTTTCAGAATTAACGGAACTCTATATTATTATTTAAAGATCATCTTAAAAATATAACATAACACCCACATTCCTATCATAAATTTTGAAGCTGAGAAGGAAAAAAAGAGAAAAAACACAGAAATCGAACTATAAATCCAGGGTTCCTTAGCCAGATAAATGTCTGCTAGGTGCAACAGTATAAATCCAATTTTAAAATGCAATTGGTTAAGTAAAATGAGAAAGATAAAGCAACTTCTGTTTTAAGAATTCTTTTTAGCTATTAAAATTAATAATTTGCTAGTCATTACTTGAACAGTTTCAAGCATTTTATATTATCAGACTTTTACAAAATTCAATTTTAGATTGTAGCCCAATAATATATATATATAGCTAAATGAAAAA